TCTTGTCTTCTGGGACACCACTCTCACTTGGTTCTTCACCTCCTTCTCCAGCCACTTCACAGTTACTTTTGCTGATTCTGCTCATCTGCCTGATCTCTGAATCTTGGCATGTTCCAGGGTTCGCCATCCTCAGTCCTCATCTTTCCTCACACTCAAGTCTTTAAATACCATGTACACACTGATGACGTGCAGATTTCTATCTCCAGCCCATACCTCTCACCTGAATACCAGACTGTTATTCGCTAACTCCTTGGCATCTTCCCTTGGAAGTCTTAAAGTCATCTCAAACTTACTAGTCCAAAACCAAACTCTTGATCTCTCCCCTAAAATTTGCTCTTCTCCTTATGACAGTAAATGGCAACTTCATTGTTCTATCTGCTCAGAGCAAAAACCTTGCGGTCATGTTTGAGTCCTCCTTCTTCACTCACATACAATCCACCAGCAAATCCTGGTGAATCTTCTTTCAAAAATTATTGATAATCCAACTACTTCTTACTAGCTCCACTGGCATTTTTTGCTCAAATTATTGCAATACCCTCTTAATTGGTGTCCACCCCAATCCACCATGCTAAAATGCTGTGATTTTTACACCTTCATATTAAAGCTTGAGAAATGGTAAGAATCATGTATTAACAGAGACTTGAAAATATTTTCATCTGTCAATCTACACCAGATGAATATATGAAGTCACAGGCATAATACTGATTCTATTTTAATGTTTGATTTTACAAAAAATCCATCCTAGGCTGGATCTAGAGACTTATAATTAAAAAATCAAGTTGTCTAGGACTGTGAAATACTCCTACTTTTATCCATTTCTTAAGCTATACTATACATGAAACAAATAATTTAGTCACTGCTACTTCAATCCTGTTCATACTGACACAGACTTTAAGTATTTTCAGAATGTTTTATAAACTTATATTAAAATGCATGATTCTTATATTAAGATGCCCAAGAATATGACAGAAACCTGCATATTTGGACTCTATTCAGTGTGCCCATTCCTTGAAGCCAAATTTTCTAGAGGTGGGGCTGTATCACCATAACAACTAATCTTATGTTTTAGTCCTTCATTACTAATAGTGCTTCTCACAAACTTATTTTTAAGTTGCCCAAGCAAAACATTAATCTTTAGCATTGCATCATGGTCTTTATTTTAGAAGCCATTCTTAAAAAAGAAGCAATCCTAATTCTTTTAGAAGAATTCCTTAAGAACTAATAAGACAATTGTTTCAGTGCCATGACAAAAATATGTTTCTAATTATCTTTTCCCAGAAGCTTTCCAGCAAACACAACCATTATTATTCATAATTCTCAATGATCAATAAAATATTAGCCAAGCACTTTATTACTAAGATTACATGCAAAGAGGCATGGAGAATGTTATCTGTGGTTTATCCACCAAGAATCCTAATGGAATACCTACTGCAACCGCAAAACCATGCTGAATACTATAGAGACAAACAGACTTCCCTCTCTGAAAGCCTTGCTGACTTGCTCTGCAAGAATGAAGAGCTGAGTCAATTCTCTGAGAAACCAGTGGGGAAAGAGCAGCTCCTTGAGGAAGGCATCCTCCCTGGAGTGAGGCGGAGGCGTTTCCGGGAGAGGGGGCACTGCCTGGTCCCTTCTTCCCGACACTGAGAAGACTGTGCCTTGGCGAGCACACTTCCATTCTCTCCAATTCGCTGAAGTCACAGCATGTCTCTGGACGCAGTTCTGCCAGCTCCCATTCATAAAATTGTTGCTAAATCTCCCAAGGCTGTTGTGATATTTCGGATCTCTTCTGCAATGTCAAAAGACTTCCACCAATTCCTAATTGCCTGCTGAACTTTACCCCGTGTTTGCTCCACCATATCCTTAAGGGGACATGAGTTGCTGTAAAACTTACAATGTGATCCAGCATGATCCTCGCCTTTGTTTCTTTAGAGCAGGTCCAGCACCATCATAGCAGACCTTTTTCAGCCATCAACATTTAACACTTTTTTGCCAGAACGAAATGTAGATGGCAGGAGAGGCCACAGCAGGGTAAACAGCCCACTTAACAATACTGCCTAACACACTCTACCCAGGATTACCCAGCAGGACCCTCACGGGCTGACTGTATGTGCGAGATGCTGGGCTGCTGCTCCTTGGGTGACACACTGTTGTCACTGGCTAACAGCATATGTGAATGGGAAATATATAAATATTTGATATTATATATATATATATATATATATATATATATAAACTGTGAACGCTAATGGAGTACGTACAAGGTTCTATGTGCATAGTAAGTGCCATACCTCTCAGTACCTGAAGTGCTAATCACCTATTAAATCTTTTGATAGGAAAACATGGCTGAAGACCCTCACAGAGGAGGTTTATTCAGCTCATTTTTACCTAATTTGATTCAGATTCACCATATAAATGTTCCATTTGTCTGTGTATAAATACCAGCTGACTTTGCCTCCACTGATATAGTCAAGGTTGCACAACCAATTGAGCAGGAAAGCTAGTAACAGTTTTGGATACTCCTTTAGCTCATACTCATATATCATCTTTGCCAGAATGCCCATAAAATTAACGTCTCATTGTAAACATTTCCCTACAGATGCCTGGACACCCTCATTCACAGAGAGGCTATCTTCATTTGTTTCAAGTGATTTTCTGTACTTCAAATGAAAGAAACAATGGTTGGTTTGGGTCCCATTAGCATCTGCTCCCATTTCCTAATTAGCACTCTGATATCTTTTGGGGGAACTACCTCTTCCCCCATGTGTAGTTTTGATGGGATGACACTCACTTCCCATACAGAAGCTGAGGGACTAGATTCTTTTCCCTCTCATCACGGTAGTAAAGCCACCGGCATACCTGCAATAAGGCCTCAGCCAATTGGATGCTTCCTCTCAAGACTTTGAATATTGAGTGACCCAAGGGTGGCAGCTTTGCCTTATCCAGACTGTTCCAGCTATGGTATCATTCCCATACTACAGGCTTCCTCACTCTGGAGCTTGGTTACTGCCCTCCCCAAACCTGCTTCTCCAGGCTCCCGATCAATCTGTGAACGCCACATAGCACCAATAAACTCCTTTTTACTTGGGTCATCCAGACTCTCTGTCTGTTGCTGACACCACAGCATTCTGACTACCCACCAACACGACTGTGGAAGACATACTGCTAACTCCACAAACATCTCTTTGGCCTGCAGGAGATGGCTCGGTATGCTACTAATGCTTAGGGCTATGTGTTTTCATTAAATATGCAGATAAATGACCAGGGTTGTTCTGCTGGCGCTCCTTGTGGACTAAACAGTGGCCAGTGTTCTGTTGTGGATCACTTGAATACTTTTCAATCCACTTGACTATTCTGGGCTTCATTTGTCAGTTAAAAAGAATAAGCCCCAAAGCCTTCACTTTTATTAACCAGCTTAAACTATTTTGGTCCAGGTGAGGCAGTACTATTTCATTTGCATCACATCTCAGCATGCCTGCTTAAAAGCCTATAGTGGCATGTGATTCCCCTTGTCTTCCCAGAACTATATGATAAGAAGCTTCCCATTTTGTCTGTCCTTTAAATCATCTATGGGAATAAAAGTGCTCCTGGATGTGCTTATCAGAAAAGAGTGAAAGATAATCAAGGACCAGGAATGCCTAGATTGAGGCACCTGTGACCGGGAGGAAAGAAAGTCATCTACCCAGAGAGCAAAGCAGGAAGTCACATGTGAGAGGTGGGCAGGGAGAGCGGGAGGCTTGCAGCCAGGGGCCCTCAGAGTGGGCACCGTGAGTGCCCCAGCGACCATTTTTATGAGGTTTGTACTCTGAAAAAAAAAAGCCCACACTTTTAGCTAAATAGATGTGTGTATTCCACACGAGCAGCCTGAGGGAGGAGCTTGTGCTGACACCTGCTGAGAAGGGAACACGTAGAAGAGCAAACCGAGGGGTCCTCTGGAACCCCGTGATACAGGCATCTCTTTACCCCAAGGCTTTGTCTCAGGACAGCAGCAAAAAACAAAAAACCAAAACCAGACTGCCCGAGTTGGCATTTTGCCAAGGCTGATCAGTCGGTCTCTTAAACCAGCCTCCCTGCTGCCTTCCAACATTTGAGAAATCCAGCTTCCACAGGGAGCAGCTCAGAGGCAGAGCGTTCCCAGAGACAGAGTGGTGATTTGGGATTTCTATCTAGATCAACCCAGCCCCAAAGACCCAAGGCATACTGCAGGCACAAAAAGAAAAACTCAGAACTGAACACCCATTTGAGTCTCAAAGGATGATCACTTCGAGTGCAGAGAAGTGGCTGGAAGGTTGAAGACAAGAGAAAGAGCCAACAGATGAGCCGAAAATATGGATCTAGGGTATGCAAGTGTGAGAGCAAATTTCCCAGTTGGCTGAGGGAGGGAAGAAAGAAGGAAAGGGGGCTGCTGCTTCCCAGTGACTTGACTTCATTACTTCTTTTTTTCTAATTGCATTTGTTATTGAGATAAAGTTCACTATTTTAAAGTGTTTAATTCAGGACTTCCCTGGTGGCGTAGTGGTTAAGAATCCGCCTACCAATGCAGGGGACACTGGTTCGAGCCCTGGTCCAGGAAGATCCCACATGCCGCAGAGCAACTAAGCCCGTGTGCCACAACTACTGAGCCTGCGCTCTAGAGCCTGCGAGCCACAACTACTGAGCCCATGTGCCACAAATACTGAGCTCATGCACCACAACTACTGAGCCTGCACTCTAGCGCTCATGAGCCACAACTACTGAGCCCACGTGCCACAACTAAGTGAAGCCCACACACCTAGAGCCCATGCTCCGCAACAAGACAAGCCACAGCAGTGAGAAGCCCACGCACCGCAACGAGAGTGGCCCCCACTTGCCGCAACTAGAGAAAGCCCGCGTGCAGCAACGAAGACCCAACACAGCCAAAATTAAATAAATAAATAAATAAAAATTTATTAAAAATTAAAAAATAAAGTGTATAATTCAGTGTATTTTAGTATATTCACAGTGTTGAGTAACCATCACCACTACCTAATTCCAGAACATTTCGATCACCCAAAAAAGAAATCCCATACCCATTAGCAGTCACTCCCCATTCTTCCAACCCCCCAACCCACTGCAATCACAAATCTATTTTCAGTCTCTATGGATTTGCCTATTCTGGATATTTCATCTGAATGGAATCACATAATACATGGCCTTTTGTTTCTGGCTTCTTCCACTCAGCATGTTTCCAAGGTTCATCCATGTTATACCATGTATCAATACTTATTCCCTTTTGTGCTGAATAATATTCCAGCTTATGGACATACCACATTTGTTGATCCATTCATCAGCTGATGAACATTTGGATTGTTTCCACTTTTTGGCTGTTATGAATAGTACTGCTGTCAACATTTGTGTGTATGTTTTCAGTTCTCTTGGGTGTACATCTCAGAGTAGAACTGCAGGGCCACAGACTTCATTACTTCTTGAGATTCTTGTTGACAGTTCAGGACTATGGGACAAAATGACCACAATGTTGTCCTTGCTGCCATGCTCCTGGATATGAAGCTCTAAGCACAGAGGGTACCACGTGATGGTTTGATGTGAGCCCATGTTGCCTGCAGGCATATGGTCGAGACCACAGTCTCCCTGGAAAGAGGAAGTAGAAGGTGATGTGGCAAAGGAAGCCAGGTCAGAGTCAGAGGGCCCTTGCAGGGAGTCCCCGCTGCCTCCTGTTGTGAGCTCAGCTCCTCCCCTGAACCGGTGGTCCCATCCACATCCCATCCACCACTGCTCTTCCCAGAAACACCAAAACATGGGTCAGGTAGTCAAGTGCATAGGTGCAAAGAGTTGGTAAGATATTTTAAAGTACTACTCTGATGTCTCAGTTCAGGCTGCTGTAACAAACTACCATAGACTGAGTGGCTTATAAACAACAGAAATTTATTTCTCACAGTTCTAGAGGCTGGAAGTCCAAGGTCAGGGTGCCAGCATGGTTCGGTTCTGGTGAGAGATCTCTTGCTGATTATGGACTGCCACTTTCTCTTTGTGCCTCACATGGCATGGGGGGTGAGGGAGCTCTCTGGGGCCTCTTTTATAAGGGCATCAATCCTATTTACGAGGGCTCCATCCTTATGATCTAATCACCTTCTTCCAAAGGCCCACCTCCAAATACCATCACATTGAGGATTAGGTTTTAGCAAATGAATCTTGGAGGAACACAAACAGTTCACACCATCTAGAAACTTTACCGATTTATTTTTTTTAAGTCTTTTGTCCCTTTATCATTGTGTTCTATGGTGAGAGTCAGAGAACAACTAGGCTGGACACCCTAACTCTTTCTTGTCCCATCTCATGCCCAGATTTTCCTTCTGAGACAAGAGGGATTTGATGATGCTAAATCTGCTGAATCTACACCTTCTGGAAGAAAGCACACTCTGACATCTCTGAACTATTATGATGCTCTGTGCCTTTCTCTTTATTCCCTCTCTCAACCGCTACTCTGGCCAAACAGCCAGAAGAGAAGGCACACCTTTCTCCCAATCGAAGTTTGCCTTTCTCTGACCTCTCAGGCTATTTCATGTTCCTCTCATCCGATAAACCCTGTAGGTACTGTTGCAATAGTTCAGACGGATTCTCATCCTACAAGTGTAGATTCTCAGGAAAGCCACAGGACGATGAGGAGGGCTGTTTTTCTGTGGTGGTGGTGGTGGTGATGGCAGAAGGGGTTGAAATGTTGTTTCTAGAGTTAATTAAAATGAAAAAAGGAGAGTCATCCAAATACTGGGTATTAGAGAGCTTTCTGGAAGGAAATGTCTTAACACCTTGAACCTGTGCAGACCCAGCCTAGGTGGCTCATGATGCTGGCAGGTGAGAAGGCCCTACATCTACTTGTGGAAGGACCACTTCAACCACTGGTTTTCAGTGCCTGACTTTATGGGGTGGGTGCTGTGCTAAGAGAAGGGGATACAAAACTGAATAAGACACAGTTCTTGCCCTCACGGAATTTATAATATTAATAGAAATATGTGAGGGAATGTGATGTGTTGGGCAAGAGAAAAGTTGCAGGTTATGAGGGAAAAGGAGGGATGGCAACCAGCAAGGGCAAAGAGCACTTTGCTTCCATGAGTGCCCTGAGGCTTGAAGGTCAGCAAACCACTGTGTGGATATTCCTCCTGCCTAGGCCATTGCAGTGGGAGGCGGGGGAGAGGAGAGGAGTTCTATGGATCTAATGAGTCCACTTGGGCCTTTCTCTGTGGCCTTAAACTCAGCAGAGTCACCTTTCTAGACACTACTGAGACCACAAAACCTAGATAATCCTGGTGGTAGAATTATCTGCTTAGAAAGCAAAAAGATGTTAGTGGCTTTTTTCAGAAATGTGTATATTTTGTAATCAATTAAATCAAGTTAATCACTACAATCTATGGTAGGTACCGAACCCTCAAATTCTAAGGGCACTGACAAGCCAAATATTTATACTAATACATTTAAGCAAAAGGGTGCTGGAGTTGGGGGCAGCAGAACCAGCTATAAAAGGCTGCTCCCGGGCTTCCCTGGTGGCGCAGTGGTTGAGAGTCTGCCTGCCGATGCAGGGGACACGGGTTCGTGCCCCGGTCCGGGAAGATCCCACATGCCGCGGAGCGGCTAGGCCTGTGAGCCATGGCCGCTGAGCCTGCGCGTCCGGAGCCTGTGCTCCGCAACGGGAGAGGCCACAACAGTGAGAGGCCTGCGTACGGCAAAAAAAAAAAAAAGGCTGCTCCCTCAAAGCCCTGTAGCAGGATGAGCACAGGGCAGGGCTGGAAGGGGCCCCCACAATATACTGCAGCCTGGAGGGCTTTCTCCCACTGGCTTTTGGGATTTCAGCAAATTTTTCAGATCCTTGTCAAGTGCTCTGAAGAATTTCAATCACAAAGCTGTGACTGGAGCCAGCTTTGGTGAGGTCAGCTGTTGGTCTGTGAGATACCGTGATAATGATTGGCTATTGGGAGTTGGCACTTTCTGAAGGACACGTCAGTTCATCAGTCATTGTGTCTTTGAATAATGTTTTGTGTCCTTCGGGGCCTTTCATCTGAAACTACCTTGTAAACACGGATGTCTTGCCCCTGCTGTGAGGTAAGCATCCTTCTTTGAGGAAACTGAAGGAATTCTCCCAGAGTCTGAGTGCGAGCTTCACAAGCAGGACTGGAATTCATCTCCTGTCATGGACTCGTGAAACAATGCTCACTGGCTGCACCCCATCGTCTTCCCCTTGGAAGGCAGGGAAGGCAAAACAGCACAACAGGAGGCTGTCAATGCTTAAACTGTTAACTAGCGTTTTTCCAAAATGTGTTTCTGGTTAGTTTAAAGAAGGATAAACAAGATTTAATAGCTGGCAATGAATCACATTTTTTTTTCTCCCTAAATGCTATTTGGATCCACTCAAACGCCTGTCATTCTACTTTTGTACAAATAAATAAATCTCCTTTTCTTTTGTGCATTTTTCTCTGTCCTGAATTTCCTAAAATACAATTTGTTTGACGGATGAGTTAAGCAGTTCTGAGATTTGTTTTTGGCTCTGTAGGCAACTGGGTTGTTTTCTCATCATAATTCAGTGGGACAAGGTTATCACCCCGCAAACACTAACACCTCATTTAGAACCAGAAGCACTCCCCCACCAGAAGAAAGCAATTGCTAATGTTCTGATATAAGTTTCAGTTGTTACATGTGAAGTTTCCTTGTATTAACATCTCTGCCCTGCCCCTTCCCTTTCCTCTTGTTTTAGTTATGCTGGATGTACTTTGTGTATACAGTCATTTTGAAGTGGAATTACAGACAGAAAGTCAACTTGAGAGGAAGCACAGAGGTGGGCCCCTCATCTGCTTAGGCTTGAGACTCTAGAACCAAGAACTTGACAAATAGGGACAAACCTCACTCTAATCTGAAAGCAAAATGAACACAGCGAGTATTTTTTTCTCCTGCCACATAAGCATGGATTCTTTTTTTTAGACGAAGACCTGTGAAACAGTTGAACTGAAATTAAACCTATGTATTTTCTAAAGTAAGTGTACTGAAATGTTTTCCAAACAGACTCTGAATCAAGCTGACATTTCATTTGGTTTCAAGTCCTTGGTTAAACAGAGAGGTGCCTTTTAAATAACTGCCCATTATAATAAAAGATAAGCCAAGTCAATAAAAATATGTTGTAGGTCTTATTTTCAGGTTCTCCTTACTAACACAGAGCCTCTGTGAGCCTGTTTCAAGTGCTCTATCAGTGCTTCTCATAATCAGAAATGCTGTTGCCCAGGAAAGGCAAGGAAGTTCCAAGAAGAGGGCAAACCCAGAACCCAGAAGTGGGCTTGTGTTTCCACCGGTTCTCAGCTGGGTGGTTGGGAATAAAGAGGGAGTAGTCCTGCCATCCCATCTCTCCCCATTCCAACCATACAAGTTCAAGCACAAAGCCTTGAAGCAACACAGCCAAGTCTGAAGATTATTTCCCCCAAGGTTTTCAGAAGATTTATTTCTACAGCAGTACTGTTTAAATGTGCCTTTCAGCACTTAGCATATTGAATTGCAATAATCTGTTTACAAGCCTATAGTTATCTCAAGAGTAAAAGAGTGTACCATCTTTGAATCTCCCAGTATCTAGCACAGAGCATATTAGATAACCTTTAAAGGATTAAATGAGTGATGCATGAATGAAAGAATACCAAATGGCATTGATTAATAATCAATTTCCTTTCCCAACATTCACTTATCAGCCATGTGTAATAAAATATACAGTTTTTTTTAAAAAGTAACATTAAGAGTATGATTTTCATTAAGTTTCATGAAATTTTGAAAACAGCTTATGGGGTTTCATCATTATGTCCACTGGGTCCTGGCATCCAAGAAAACTGAGCTGGGAACTACTGGCACAGGCCCGTGGTTCTCAGCCTTGAGTGTGCATTAGAATCACCTCAAGGGCTTCTGTTAACACATTGCTGGGCCCACTTCCAGAGGTTCTACCCAGTAGGTTTGGGATAATGCTGATGCTATTGGTCCATGGACCACACTTTGAAAAACACTGGTTTAAGAGAATGAGTAGGGTGGTGGATGATTTCTTGTGATGACTGAACTGCATGACCTTCAATAGACCATTCACCCATCTCACAGTGGCCCACGGAGATGGAGAGAGACAATGACACCTTATATCCACAGAGTATTTCAAAACACAAACCCTGTACCACTTACATGAGCACACCTTTCTCAACCTTACTCACAGGGATGTAAGCTACAAGTGAGAAAGGAAGTAAAGACAACGGTGCTTTGGAAAATCGAAGTACTACAGAAATGTATTGTTTTATCATCACAAAGATCCAAACTTCATCTTGGGCTTTTCCCACTAGGGCCTTCCTGGGTTGGACCGCTTAGCATAGAAATACTGATGTTAATTTAAGGAAACAAACTCACTAGGTTAGGAAACATGGAAAATAGCTGAAAAGTTTTATGTGTTGGGGTTTGCATGCTGGAGGAATCCATGATTTTCTGGGCATTCTCCTGAGCTGATACAGAAGGACTGGCGTCTGTTCAGTATCTGTGCGTTATGTCTCTACCCACCGATACCACAAGCACCAGGGTTGTTTCCTGGCGATCTGTGCACTCACGTGGCCTAGCTGCTGGCAGTCCTGACTCTTAACATTAATCAACTTGACATCTGGAACCAACCTGAGGCAACCCATCTGATTGCCACAGATGCCTTTACTTTTCAGCTGTCAGCAAGGAGATTACTCAGTTTAGGGTGCCAGGTCTACACCACACAGTCTGCATAGAGGGTTGAGTGGTGTGTTAGAAAGTAAGCTGAATAATCTGGGAGTGTGGGTGAGACAAAGATTTCCCTCAGTAATCTGTCAGCTCGAGCCTACCCCAGGAAAGCATTTTGCCTGCAGCAGCAGAATTACTGTGGTTGGGTAGAGCTGACTAGATTATGTTCTACATATCCTTGGAGTGCATATTCTGCAAATTACAACATCCTTGAGCTAATTATATAGCAGCGGCGGCGGCGACTTTCAAAACCCTTTAGCACCCATTGGTCAGCTACAGCTAGGACTGCATTCTTTAGTGGCACTGGGGAAGATGTCAAAACCTCTCCTTAGGTGAGTTCCAAAGAAGCCTAGGCACTGCTTGGTGACTAGTAACCTGCTCATTGTCATCATTACGACAGTAGTATGGGACTGGGCTGGTGGGCACAATGTCAATTACACCCCTTTTCTATTTTAGCATTTCATGCACTCTAATATGGGAAATGAGGCCCAGGACGTTGTCCAGAAGAGCAGCTTGTTGGAAATTGCTCTGTGATGTGTTAGGATGATGCAGACAGTCAGAAATCAAACTTTCCCTCATGGAGGCAAAAGAAATATGTAGATAACATTGTAAATCAGTCGGGAGTCAAACATCTACCTGGATTGTCACCCACCATTGCATGGCATTGATTTCTCAAAGCCTAAAACCATAAAGAACCTAAACCAGGGCGGAAGGGCATCCTGGCCTCCCATGTTCACTGATTTAATTTTCCCCTCAGAACACACGCAGCCCCGTAATTAGAACATTTACCAACCATAAATACAATTTAAACTCTGTACATGTGTGCCTACACGTGTGGAGAAACTTAGGCTGAGATACGGTTTCAATAAAAACTGTCCTTCTGCGCTGATTAGAATGTGTAAAGAGGAAATCTGTTTATACCACAATCTACTGAAAACTTGTGTTGGCAGCAACACTCTCGGCTAATAAATGTCAATAGCAAAGCTACATGGAGGGTATGAATTAAACTACTCACAGTCTGGAGATTCAGAGCTCAGTCTAAAATGGCATGTCCAACTCGTTCTGCCATGTCCGCCATGAAGGAATGCCATAAGCCCAGGGCCTATGAAGCTCAGACTGCTAACAAATGGGATGTGTTCAGTGATGTTCCTCCGTCTGTCGAGTTCAAGTCCACCTGCAAACAGAAAGGAGGTTTTAGAGGAAACTGCAGAGTCCTGCAATGTTTTGGTAAGGCGTTAGTATTTATTCTCCGTCTTTTCAAATAATGGCGGTATCATTCTGGATCTCTAGCAGCATGAAGAATGAGATAATTGGATTAACTAGAAATCAACAGGGCATTTAATTTTTTTTTTATGCTCCATTTTTCATTTCTTGTTGATTTCATAAAAACCAGAAACCAAGCACTGTCCATTGAGTGCGTCCGCCCATGTATTCATCCCGACCAATAGCAGCCCTGGTCTGATTAATGCAAGATCCCCTGAGGTCTATGGAACTCAGAAGAACCCTTGGTCACACTCAAGAACTAGTAGGAAGAGGAAAAACACAAGTAGAAGAGCTGAAGGTGGTGAAAAATCACAAGTGAAAAATAGAGAGTCTATCCAAAGGTAGAGTGAAGGTGTGGTATGGGGTAGCCTGCTGGGAGGGGTGGCTGTGTCTCTTCCTAGAGGATTATTAAAGGATGACATTGGTATGTCCAGGGGTATTGGTGAGAGCCATAGAAAATATCTCCAGGTGATACAGAGTCTTCTCCTTCAGGTTGGCTGTAGGATAATCTACATTTATTGAGTTGGAGGGAAAGGTGAGGGGGCAGCATGCCTGTAAAAACAGTAGTAAAAAACAACAACAATAATAATAGCAGCAAATACGTGCTACCTGCCAAACACTGCTTATTAACACATTAACACATTTATTAACTCATTTAATCATAACCACCACCACCCTAGGAAGTAGGTATTATTATCACCCCCATTTTACAGATGAAGAAACTGAGGCACAGAGGTGCAGAAGCTTCCCAAAGTCATCTAGTCAGTAAGGGGTGAAGGCAGACTCAGGCAGCTCCCTCAGAGTCCAGTGCATTAGCTTGAGTCCCTATTGCCTCTCGAAAGAACCAGGACCCAGCATACTGAGCACTGTTCTAAGCCCCTTGCTTGCACTCACCCATTGAGTCCTCCCTACAATGCTGTAGGCAGGTACTATTATTCTCCCTCTTCTGCAGATGTGGGCCTCGGGCACTGAAAGCTAAGTATGCATCACTGGTAAGAAGAGCTCCAGAGCCCTCGCTTGTAACCATTGCTCCATGCTGCTTCCCCACAGGCTGGCGAAAGTCAACTGAACATACTCGAGTCCTCTCTATCTTTTCTTCTGCCCCATTGCACTTTCTCTCACTCCAGGCTCTGCCAGAACTCCTGTTACACTCCTGAGTGACTGAGTTCTTATTTGCCTGCCCAGTGCTGTCAGAGGCGGTATGACATGGGGCCACCTCCTCGGACCAGCTACTTCTCTGGGTTCTTCAGGCATTTGCTCAGATCCGATTCACAATGGCAAAGGCTGTGTGCACCCAACTAAAGACAAAGAGAGAGTCCAGATGATTTAGACTCAAGGAAAACTCCAGGTAGCAGTACAGTCATGTATGATATAAAGCACTTTCAATATATTACACCAGCGCTTTCACACAGGTTTTTTCATTTAATTCTCTTACCAACTCTGAGAAGCAGCCATTGTTGTCTCTAATATTAAGAGAAATACTTAAATTCAAGAAAAGCTTTGCGACTTACCCAAGATCACACATCTAGTAAAAATCACAGCTGGGACTCAGAATCCATCTCTATATTATGATGCTGCATCACAAAAGAACAATCTTTCCTTCTGCCCTTTATTAGCCCTAAATAATAACAACAACAGAAAAAAAAAAAAGGGCTCTGCCCTCAGCTCTCGGGACAAGAGTGGTCATCAGCTCTAATGGACCACGTGTCTATTCATCCATGCAGCCCCAGACATCCACAGGAGGTGGGACAGGCTCTCTGTTGCTTCATTTCTATGACCTCTCTTTTCAAATGAGATCAGTCTCCACACCCCACCCTGCAGTGCATTTCTGGAGAACTGGAAGCAGAGGGTCTTCCATAAAGGGCCCTCCTCTGTAAAATACCATTCCTCTGTTCTCCTGAGAGCCCTGGTTAGCTGACCTTTCAGGCACGATGAAAGATAGCTCTTTTTGGTTTATTTTCCCCAGATAGTTGGAGGAATGTTGTTCTGGGCTCGTGTTCAGTGGGTTTGTGTTTTTTGTTGCTGTAATGGTGTTTTGCTATAGTGGTATTACCATATTTTGGAAGTTTTCTAAACCATTGCCTATGCACCCAGGGGTGACTATTAAAATGATGAGGCCATTTTTATAAATCACAAAAATAAATAAATGTATAAAAGTGCAGTTAATAAAGTGGGCATAGCTAACCCAGCTAAAGAAACAACTGAAAGTGTTTTTCAGAATGTAAAGTGAGTTTCATGACCCAAAAGAAGTCTATAGAATTAAAATTCTGTACATTTTAAGGAAAAATATAAGTATATATGAATAGTGTATATGAATGATAAGATAAATGGTAAATGCTGACTTTGATTTTATATTTTATCTGGGTATCTATTAGATGGAAGAAATATAAATGGAAAAACATAAGCATACATGCATTAGGAATAACTATGTTAGTCTCATTTACATATAATCATTGTTTTAATAGAATCAAAACATGCATGATAGTTTTTTTGAGTTGTTTTTTTTTTAAGTGGCTTTTTGTTCTTTCTCATCCAATATCTACAATCTTTACCACATCTGAAGGGTTACCCACATAAGATATCATAGTCAGAACCTGCCAAGAAACATCAGAAATTAGACTTTCTGGATCACATACCAACCTTCCTCCCTCTCTCCATCAATTGCCTCTACCTGCCTCATCCACTGCTCTGCCCGGAGCATGGCCTCCACTAGTTGGGGTTTCACTGACTGTACAGAAACTTACTCCTAGTCTCCCTGGTCATCCCTGAAAACTCGCATAGGTGGTTTCCCAAAGGAGAAGAAACTGACTGCCAAATGCTCTGTGTGCTGGGCAAGATTTCCATGAACATATGAATACATTCATGGAGGAAATAAAAATTAAGTACTTGATAATTTCATCAATGGGAAAAAATTCAACTGTTTACAGGTTGACCAAAGTTTTTAAATGTGTGTTTTGTTTCAGATATTTTAGGGGCAGGCAGGGCTTTTGGCCTTCAGATGGAGCGGGGGAAAACAGGGTGAGTATGGAGGTTCCAGGCAGTATCTCACCTGCAGGGCTCTTCCAGGCTCTTTCAGGCTGCCCATCAGTAGTGCTGACCATGGCCTGGGCCTCAGTCTTCTGGGACAGATGCTGGGTAAATCTGACAGCATAGGCTCATTATAGATGATTACGGATATAAACTTTGGGCAAGATCTGAAGAAAGCAGGTTTCAGACCAATTAGACTTAAACTAGCTATGCTTTAAATGACAGAGGTGATGGGCCATGAGGGTCATCCTACCACATCCCACATTATTAAGGGAGGGGGGCACCTCTTCCCACAACAGAGCAATACCATGAAGAGGCAAGTGGTCAAAGATCAAGTCTTCTGCCAACTACAGAGCTGATAAGACTCTGATCACCTATAAAACATTCGGTCCTCTGTGTGTGTGGTCTGAAAAATCAAACCAGACAAAGTGAAGGTTTTGGTGGAGGGTGCCAGGGGAGGGAGAGGGTGAGTAGAATCAAAACAGCAACTGTATCTGGATTTGTTTTTAACTCTCCCAAATAAATGCATGTGGAGGAACAGAATCAAACATTTTTCTCAAGCAGAAAGAATTATTTTGCCTTCAAACACCAACCAGGTAGATATGGTCCCAAAAATGACTAGAAATGCAGCGGTGTTCCACTGTGGTTGTTCTTTCTAATCACATACCAAATTCCAAGTACTTTTTGTAAATTACTCACAGGCAATTAAGTCCTTTAGATTCATCCTGTGATGGTGGCAGTTTTGTTGGGCCATGTTTGTCCTAGAGCAGCTGCTGAGATGCTAGCAGGAAAAAAAGCCACATGATTCTTCAGCTCATAATCCAGTTAGTTTATTTTCCTGAGATTACATTTGGGCATCATATCCATGCAAATAGCAAGGCAGCCAGAAAATGAAGCTCCCTAACCTCCTCACAGGTAGAGAATGATCAGATAATGTATTTGGCCTTTTCCTCCCCAACTCACCCCTACACACGCAGACACACACCATGAATTCCAGATTTGCCCTTCAGTTGTTTCCCGTGCACGCTGCAAGAGCAGAAGAGGCAGGGGAAAAAAGCACAAAGCTGAGCCAGGCCCCATCTGGTTGCTGACTTCCCAATCTCCTCATCTAGTTTTCTCTCCACCGTGACCTGAAGACCACTTGGGTGACCCGGAAAAGATTCCTGTGACCTGTGCCACTCCTCACGCTCTAACTGTGCTGCCATTCTCACTCCGTTCCCTCAGCAATACTGTGTTGGCCCTTCTTACCTCTTTAATGGACATGAATACCCTAAGTTTTCTAAGTCTTTTCTCCCCAAGCAAATGAGAAGCTCCAAAAGGGCAGGGAACACATCTGATCCTTTCCTGCCCTTCATTATTGCTAGTACAGTGCTAAGCAAATAGCAGTCGCTCAAAAACAAATTGTGTGAGGAGTCTCTTTGGTGTAAGTTTTGTCAGCTGTAGTAGATGGGTAAGGAGGACAAAAGAAAGCAAACATCAAGGAGGACAATTAGTAAGGCAGAGGCGGCCTCTACTAAGAAACCCTGTTCAACTAAAACCCTGTTTTTACAATGGCCCTGATATGTGAACACTATACTCTGAGACAATTGTTGTCTTTCTTTCTACACTTTGCGGCTACGCTGACTATGAATAAAAAGTATAACCTTAACCTTAAAATCATTGCTTTTCAGGACAAACCTTCCAATTTGTCTTCACCGATTGACTAAAACTAGTTTCTATAGCTGGGATGCTTTCATGTTCTCTGTGGATTTGTTTTTGGTAGAAAGTACTGGAAAGGCCACAAAATAAAATGCTCAAGGATCTGAAAAGAGAGATTGCCCCTTATAATTTAGACCTATATTCAAGTTGTTATATAAATTTAAATTCTCATTGCTTTTGGGGGGCAGGGAGAGGTGTGGTCATGAGTTAATGGATTATTTGCCTTTTGAAATTTAAGGGATGAGGTAGGTTGGAATTTTCACTCCTTTTCCCCCAGAATATTTTGCTTTTTAAAATTACTCATTTCCAGCATAACAATAAGTCATATGAGACATGAATTGAAGGTAGTAGAGGGAACTGAGGTCTGGTCATCATGAGGCGTTGTAAGGGAGCTTTTTCCTTCCAACTTTGGAAAAGGTGGACTCTTTGTGGGATGTGGGTTATGGCCTTAGATCTTTGCTTTCCTGCATTTGCCCAGGAGCAGGCCTCCACCTTACTGGAGTTACCAAAGGTCACTTTAACTGCTAGGACTTAAATTTGGGTCTTCCTTTGTAGAGGAGCCCCTTACTGATCTTATGGCCTTCCACAGATATTTTTGACTGTTTCTGGTACTGAGGTTTAAATGATCAACTGAATATTCCTCTCCTTGTACCTTCCTCAAGTTAGCCTTGGTCACATTTTGTACTGTGTGTAAATCATTATGGTTTTTTCCTCTGCCAACTACTCCTCCCCTTGAAAGAGTAAGTTAGCATGGGATACAGAGGAAATGGCTAATTTCTACCAGGACACTGGGACAACAGCCTGAATTAAGGCGGCAGACGTCTGTCAACAGCTTCATTTTCGCATTCTTTTTTCACTCCTCAATCCTTGGGCCAAAGAAGCCCCAGCATCAGACTCACACCCTCACCGGTCACCCCACCCCACCCTGGACGCAGAGTCTGCTCCCCAGAGCAGACCGAGAAAGAAGCCTGGCGGTGGGAGGTGAGCGTGCCACCAACCCGAGGCTTTTCACCGCCGGCGTGGATTAAGTAACACCCGCAAAATCAGCATTTGCACACATGCCAGGGGCTGATTACGGGCCTCTCAGCCAGGGCAGCCGACGCTACTTCAGAGCAATTTCTCCAATTTCTCCGCCCCAGGAAAGTCGGGGCGCGGCTCCAACGCACACTCCCGGTCTCCGGAGCCGGTTACGCAGCCGTCCCGCGGCTGCCCACGGGCCAAAAGAACGAGACCGCCCCCCACCCACACCGCTGCGGGCAGGCGCTTCACGCTGCATTGACGAGCTCCCTTTCCTCGACACAGCCTGAGAAAGGAGACTTGTCCCTCCTGGGAGCACCGAACCATCTCTTTGCGGCTCACGAAAGGGCTAGATGGCCCTGAGCCGTCTACACCTCCATCCATCCTCAATCTGGGAAACACGCAGGGTCAGAGACCCATCTGTTCCGGGCTTGCACCACTTTCCTGCGGTTTCACGATGTGTCACTCGGGAAACTGGGCCCGAAGCTCCGGATCGCGGTTCGGAGAAAAAAGACGCAAACGAGTCTGCGGGACGGAAGGAGGGGGCTGCTGGGGGTCGTTCAGTATCAGCCAACCTAGCCCACCCCACAGCAGACAGAAGGCGTCAGGGCTTTGCCCCCTGCGACCCGATTGCTCCCGGGCTGCCCGGCCACCTCCCCTGACCCATGCGTCTGCGTCTCTGGCCAAAGACCAACTGGTTTTCAAATAGATAAACCCAGGATCTTACTTTCCTTTACAGGACCAAGAGGCTGTGTAAATGTCTCGTGACAGTCGTAATGGAGGGTTATTAGCAGTACAAAGCCTGTACGATTCGTAGCGTTGGTTCAACATTTCGGTGTCGCACTGAAATTGCTGCGCATGTAAACCAATTTCCCCGACATAAGGGTAAACAGTATCGTTTGAACTGCGAGATGAAAACAGATGGGAAATCGCAAACAGTTACCCAAAATACAACAGACTTCTGGGCCAATTACACGTGGTTAGCTCTGAATAGCAGAGGAAACAGGTTTCTTTGCTGCTAAATGTCACGAAAGTCACCTAAAGGCACAGAAGCCGCTCTGTTTCTTGCTAAAATTAATCTGTGCTGGAGCACTTGGATAAAGCATAACAACCCTTCTCCCCCCACCCCTAGGCCACCGCAAGGCCACCCCGTCCCCGCCGCCGGATTTCAGGCATTTGTGAAAGAACCGTTTCGCTTGGGGAGCCGGGCTCTAGGGCTTCGAAGTCTAAACCCGCCCGTCGAGAAAACTGGAGAAGGGAAAGAAAATTCGGCAACCGCTCGTCAGCATGGTGGGCCCAAGGAGCACGCGGGGGAAACAGACCCAGAGCGCCGACGGTGCCTGCGGCTTCCTCTCCCCGCCGGGAGGCGCGTGTGCCTCCTCCCGCACGCACGCCTCGACCCGGCGGAGCGAGAAGACAGAGGACAGCGAGGCTGCCTTCGATGCCGGCCGACTGTCAGGGCTCCATGTGCAAAAGAACACGGAGCCCGGCCTCACGGGCGCCCAGGAAAACTCCCGAAAGGCCACAGGACCCGGCCGCGGGGCTGCCGGGCGGAAGCCTGGCTCGGGGCGGGCTCGAGCCGGAAGGAAGCGGCGAGCCCTGCGCTCCAGGCCGGTCAGGCGCCCCCGGGCTGGTGCGGGGCGCGGAGACTCAGGGGAGGCGGTGGGCAGGGCCGGGCCTGCGCCCGGGGAACTGAATCCTGGAGGCGGGAGGCCTTGGAGACGGCCGGCCCAGCCCGCCTGAGACCCTCCCGGAGAGAAACCGGGTGGGACGCGCCGGCTCCGAGCTCCGCCGGGCGCTGCGCAGGGCCCGGGTCACCGCGCTCCCGGGCTCCGGAAGCCGCGCTGGCGGGGCGGCCGGGCGGGAGGAAGCAGCTTGGGCCGCGCAGCCCCGCGCCCGGGAGCCGCGTGCAGGGTTCAGCCGTATTTCGGTTGCCCTCTGACCCGACCCTGGGCGCACAAAGGCCTCCCGGGTGCGCCGCCCTGGCCCAGCCTTCCAGTCGCTGCCAAATTAATGAGCCCACGTCAGGTTGGGTTTACAGCTCGGCCGGGAAGCAGCCGAGTGGAAAATGAGCCCGGGTCCGCTCGGAGGTACCCGCACGGGTGCAGAGGCCGGCTGGCGTCCTTGCGGCCGGGGACGTCGAGGCCCGCGCAGGGCCGTCCTCAGCTCTCCACACACCCTCTCCCGCTGGCCCTGAGGGAGCGGACCACCCAGGGAAACCTGCCGGTCTGGGAGAAGCGGCTCTCCTGCTTTCTTCCGACAACACAAACTCCACAGTTAACATCCCAGCATCACAGGCTAGGCGTGCTCGACACGGGTCGTTGGGTTGCGGCTTGGCGACCCTTCCGTGTCTTTGCTGCGCCCCGGGCTGCTGGGCTTTGGCGGCCACGAAGCCGTTAGCCCTGAGCACGGAGGACCCGGGACTCCGGGCATGCGCAGAGGGGGGCATAGGACCCACCCCTTCCAGCAGCACGGGTCTGGGAGGCGTTTTTAATCTGCTGCTGGGTGCTCGGTTTTGAAAGCCAGAGATAAAAGTCAAAAAGGGATTTGTTTGTTTTGAATAAAGGTCGATCTGCTAGTTCATCGAAGTCTTGAAGACTGGCTGATGGCTCTGCTCTCTTACTGCCCTTTAAACACTGTGATGAATTCGGTTCAAGAAACATGATTAAATCTGAAGCTGATAAAGCTTGAGGTATGGATTTATCTTATTCCTTCCAGATTTTTCAAATATATTAAAAAAAAGCACTTTCATCTAAAAGACACTCAAAGTGTCAGAAAAGCCATGTTCTGAAGAAGCCCTCTTTCCCTGCAGCTTTGTTTGCTGTTGAGAACCACGCAAACAACAGCGTTGGGAGCAACTGGTGGGACAGTTATCCCCTCTAAAATGCTAATCACTGGAGTGGTGGTGGTGTGTGTTCATTCTAAGTTATGTCAATAGATTTGTTTTTCTTCTGAACCCAAATTGAGGTAGTACCATTGAAGAAATTGAAACTTTGATTGGAGGAGGAGAAAGGGAGTGGGGGAAAAGGAGAAGAAATATGGGAGGGCAGAGGATTTTGAAAAATAATAGGGATGGGTATCCATACAAACAGAGTATACCTAAGGAAACCAGGAGGGCACCAAAGAATTAGGGAGCAAGAACACCTGAAGGTGGGCCAGTGAGAGAGAGAGAGAGAGAGAGAGAGAGGCGGTGGGCCATGCCAAAGACAAGTTTCACCTACTAAGAGGCAGTATGGTATTATGGTTTAGAGCTCATGTTCACCACTCTCTGGCTGTATGAGCTTCGGTTTCCTCACGTGCAAAATGAGGATAGTAATAATACATATATCACAGAGTTATGAGGAGTAAATAAAATAACAAGCACTTAATAAACGTTAGCAATGACTGCTGTCAGTTTCACCTGGAGCACTGTATCATAATGTCATTATGCCTTTGGCATTCCTATCTCCTCTATTACAATGTAACTTATGGGTGGATAGTGAAGTGGGATAAAGTGCTTTTTTCTCTTATATGTGAGAAAGTGAAGAAGAATCACCAGATATTTTAAGGAAAATATTTAACAAAAGACAAAAAGCAAATTGGAAAAGTAAGTGGCTGGGAGGAATTAGAGAACTTTTTAAAGAAACACACAAACACGCACATACACACACACAAATCTTCCAAGTAAAATCCTTGGAGAGATGAGGAAAGGTATTGCATCCATAAAACGTAAAAAGAATGGTCTAAAAAAGAAACATTAAGAGAACAAGAGAGAAGTTTTAAAATTCAAAATATGGTAGCAGAAATAAATTCAGTAAAAAAAAAGTCAAGATGAAGTTGAAGAAATATTTCAGAAACGAACAAAGAGACGTTTGGAAAATAGAGGGGGAAGATAAGAAAACTAGAAGACCAATACAGGAAATCCTACATTCAAGTTAAATTCCAGGAAGAAAGTACAGAGATAATAAAGGGGGAATTTCTTTTTCAAAGAAACAGTACAAGAAAATTTCCTGGAACTTACTAAGATAATTTTTCAGACAAGAAGGGCCAACTGAATGCCGAGCACGAAGACTAACAAAAGACTTATACCAAAAGGCATACTCACAGAATTTCAGAAACTCGTGAATAAAGAGAAACCCCAAAACCCTTCCAGAAAGAAAAACAGGCCCCATACCAAAAATCAGAATGGCATTGAACTTCTCAAAAATAACACTAGAAGTAAAAGGATAATAGAGCAATGCCTTCACGATTCTAAGGAAAAATCATTTCCGGTCCAGAAGTCTACATCCAGATGAACTACTCACGTGTGCAGACAAAATAAAGATGTTTTCAGCCATGCAAAATTCTAAAAATTTTATTTCCCTGTACCCTGAAACAGACACTGCTGACTCACCCAACAGCCATCTCCATCTTTCTTTCATGTTCTTTTTTAAGGCATCACATAGCCATGTGCTTCTGGGAAGCCAAGCCTTTCCCCAGCCCCATGGAATAGTCTTGATTCATCTAAGGCAGCAAGTTGTAATTCCCTACCCCCTGCAAATGACTGGCTTAGAAATAGGCATGTAACACAACTGAGATCAATTAAATATCAGGAAAATTCTATAGGGGTATGGGAAGATTTTCTTCACTTCAAAAAGAAGAAAGGGACTTACTCTTTTAGCCAGCCTTTGTATGTAGTTGTGTGAGGACATGATGATCCAAGTTGCAGCAGTTACTCTATACAGTTATCTTATCAAGGAGGAAATCCAAATATCAAGGATGGCAGAGAAGAAAGATTAAAAAGAACCTGGGTACTTGATGATGTCACTGAGCCATTGCATTCATCAAACCTGAACCTAGGCAATATCCAGACTTCTTGTTCTTTGAGTGTCAGAATGCAAACTCTGGGCACTTGAGCTCATCTCTCAAACTGAATTGTATAGTGAAAGCAATAATAATTAATAAAAATGTCTACCATCGATTGAGTACTTAGGTACTGTTCTTTTGATTATTGGCTACAATAAGCCTGTGAAATAAGTATAGAATTATGTCCGTTTTGCAAATGAGGACATATAGGCTCAAACAAGCACATGAATTAGCCAGATTTGTAACCATCTAAGGTTTGAATATTTAACTCTGATTCTATGCTCAGGACATGTGAATGGAGCATGGGAAAATGTTTGGAATATGCTGAGTTCAAACATGTACTTAATAACCAGTTGTTTTTTTTTTTGGCCACAAGTGCAGCATGTGGGATCTTAGTTCCCCAACCAGGGATCGAACCCATGCCCCCTGCAGTGGAAGTGCAGAGTCTTAACCACTGGACCACCAGGGAACTCCCATAACCACTTTAAATTCATTAGTTACTTGTCAATGTAGTTCTGATTTGTGGTAAACCAGCCCCCAAGACAGCCATCCTTACTTGCTGGTATTCACATTTTTGTGTAGTCCATTCCCATAATGAATAGGGCTGACCTGTGTAACCAGTAGGATATCCTGACAATGTGTCTCTTCCCAGGCTAGGTCATAAGAAACATCATGGCTTCTGCCTTGCTTTCTCTTGGATCACTCACTCTAGGGGAAGCCAGTTGCCATGTCACACACACTGAAGAAGCCCAATGGAGCGGTCCATGTGCCAAGAAACCAAAACCTCCCGCCAATATCCATGTGTGTGAGCCATCTTGGAAGTGGGTCCTCCAGCCCCAGTCAAATGTCAGATGATTACAACCCTGGCCAACACTTGACTACAACCCCATGAAAGACCTTGAGCCGGAACCATCCAGCTAAGCCACTCCTGAATTCTTGACCCACAGAAACTGTGAGATAAATGTTTATTGTTTTACAAACTAAATGTCCATCAACAGATTGAAACAGAGCAGGATGTGGTCCTTCCCCCTGTCCTCTGCCTGCCTTTTGTCTGTGAAAAAACTTTAGCCAAAGAATAAGTTTAATCAGAAAAGTGAGAAAATGCAGAAACAAAGGAAAACAGTCCAACAAGACTAAATAATAACAGTTTAGTCATTAAGCATAGTCAAGGACCTATAGTCCCTCTTCATGGGCTATAGATAATATTCTGAGCCATATCCTGTGAGCTGTCTTATAGATACTGAAACCCACACCAGGTGGAAGAAGTGAACTATGCGATGGATGACTATAGCCATGACATACGCTGCCACAATTCCAAGAATTGGCCTCAAAGA